TACAACTTTTACTGTCTCCTTTGAAGTAAAAGAAATTGTTTCTTTACAATAACAACAATATTTCCTTTTAGATTTTCCCGTCGACTGACTGCACCGAAGTGCTCGGAATCAGGTTGACATGTCGGCACCTCGTGCAGATGCTTCTGATGTAAATTGATGGATGGGGACTTCAAGTCAAATAATCAGACATCATCGAAGCATCTACACAAGGAGCTACCATGTCAACCTGATACCGAGCACTTCGGTCCAATCAATCGACGAGAAAATCTAAGATTGTATTAAATAATTAATATTACCCTTTGCATAGGAGGTGGCTTTCGTGGCCCAAGTGGTTTAGTGAATAACGCTTTGGCGCTTGAGACTATGGGAACTAGGTTCCAACCTCTATGGAAGCATCATCACTCACTGTGGAATGCAGGCACATCGAGATGACGAGTCTCAAACAGGACGAAATGCGCATCCTGGATTCCACTGCTAGTCACCATCCACCAAGTGACAACAAAATGTTTAATAATTTAACTTAACAAGTTATACTACTGTTAGTAGTCTGAAAATTCAAGGGCGTTTTTTTCAATGGAACTTAGCGAAGTTCTCATTAATATCATAAAATCATTATTAAATAAAATGCCTTATTGAAAGATAACCTGTACATTTAAAAGAATTTACAACACATTTAAATTTCTGTCAAACTTCATTTTGTACTGGTTATGTTATATCTCCCCTTGACCGATAGGTAATATACTTATGCAAAGAGCCACTAATTTTGAAGTGAGTAATAAGAAATTTAGACAGAACTAGCTTAATAAGGGTTCATAAAATAAGGTTTTTTAGTTATCTGCACAGTCACTCAGTTCTTGAAATAATGGAGGATATTTGTAGCTCAGGGGGATGATTTTCGACTGGTTGTGTTCTCTGAGCTCGTTGACTTAATTACAAAGCTTTCGTCTTCGTTCTAGACAACATCGTTTCAGCTCAGGTTTTAGAATAAAATGGACTTATTTGAATTCTCCATGAATGATATATTTGAAGACATTAAATTCACAAGATAACCAGAGTCAGACAATAAAATTCCATTCTTGGATGTCTTCATTAAGGGAATTAACGCAGGAAATTTTGAAACACAAGCAGACATTGTTTAAAAAAGTCCATAGACTTTGTAGCACTCCGGTGCTGAAGAGAATGGAGGAGAAATACCTGTCTTCAAAATGAATCAATAACCGCCAAATGCCTTCAAAGCGTCTAAACTTAAGTCGTAACAACAGCAAGAAACCACCACCAGAAAGTTCACTCTACCATATACATGAAGAATATCTTTGATATAACTACTAGAATATTGGGATCATTTGAAATAGATATAGCACGCAAGCCAACACAATCACTTCGTTGGATACTGTGTAAATCAAAAACCCAACAGGAAAAGGAGATAAAATAAATTGTATGAAATACAATAAACATTACGTTGGTCACAGTGGGAGGCCCCATCAAATCAGAACCCCAGAAGACAAATTACATATGAAAAGACATGATATATATTCTTTCGTATCAATGCATGTAGACAATTATGGACACCACTTTGATTGGGATAATGTAGAAATTTTAAACAGAGGAAACACCAAAAGTGCAGTCAGGGAATTCCTAGAAGCCTGGTGCTCAAGTGAATTAGCAGTTAACAAACACATTATTATAGACCAAGTGTACCAGCTAATAAAAGTAAATCACATGACAAGAAAGTTCAAACTCCAAGTCAGTAAAAATGATCAGTAGAGACGTAAATTAACAACCAGTCATGACAATGGTTGGATGTCAGGAGATACAATTGCATCATTCATGGCGAATTCAAATAAGCCCACTTTATGTTAAATCTGCTCTGAAGCGATGTTGTCTAGAAGGATGATGAAAGCTTCTTTACACAATTTAATCAAAGTCACTCAGTTTATGTTCTAAGATCTAAAGATTCATTATTAATAGTATCTTCTGCCTATTAGTTATCTAGTATCAAATGATATCGGTGACTAGTAGCTCTCAAAGTCAACCTATCATGATCCGCTTAACCAGTACATACCAAACCAAATTTGTATGTGTTAACCCTTATGTAGAATTTGAAGAAACGATAGTGTTATTAGAAAGAGAACTGGTAAACATTTGGTGCCATGACCCACTGAATTTTGGCCTAATACTTGACTGTTTACATCCTAAATTCGATTTATAATTGCTTTTAAGCTCATGGATTCATGTAGTTTCAGGTTTGCACAGATGAAGAATTAGAGGTTAGAACAACTAGTTAATCAGCTCTAGTGAGCTTTTAGCTCATATACACCTTTTCTGAGAAATCAGTTAAACCCAAACAAGTCTACCATATGAAAAATAAAACTTTATTAAAAGCATATTAAATCCATTTTATTCACCTATGTTAGCTGGTTTTGGAATCAGACAGTTGTTTTTCTTCGTTTTTGGGATTTATCAGCCATAGGTTATAGGCATCGCATAAACTCTAAGTCAATTACATTTTCAGTTTATTGATTTTGAGGGTTATCAGAGCAGTAGGTGCTGAACCAGGAGGCAATGAACTATTCAGCTTATGATTTAATGGATTCGTTTTGACTAGCTGACTAATGACAGGGTGCATAGGCGCAATTAACTTGGCTATAAATGCCAAAGTCGATAAACTAATACTAAAGAGATTTGAAGCTGGTTATACACTGGAGCAGTCTTTTAGAGGTTTGTTGTTATTGAAACTATACTAGGATTGCTTTATTTTGACAGACTATTGGTGATGAAGTTATTGAGTGACTGTTGTTGATGAGAGGAGATTTTCGGTTGTGTTAGAATTCACACTGACTCTTTCCTAGTTATTTACCGCTTAAACGTTAGCTAATTTTTCTCAGGCTTTTTTCAGTCACTTGAACATCAAGTGATTGTTTGTATTTTACTGAATTGGAACTTTTTTCAGTCAGCTATCCGTAATGTAAAGTGATACGCAGAAAGCATATTTTTTGCCAAAAGTACTACTTCAGTATGTTCACTGGTGTGGTTTGACATAGATAGACTGATCTGAAAGAAAACTTCACCTTCATCTTAGACTAGCCAAAGAACAAATAAGCAGTCTTCAGATCTGAATACATGCGTCCGACTACTTTATTTGTCTACTCTATGTACATACGTATGAGGTGAAAGCAGCATTTCATCTCTTACTAGTGTAACTGGATTCCAGATTGCACATACATCTTCAATTCAGTTTACTAACCACACGGTTAATGCTTCATGAGGCCACATAAGCAAACACACTTCCAGTTAATTTTCCCACCTACTAATCATTCTGATGAGGTCCTCGATTTCAATCATAATTTCACTTTTATTTGCTTTATCAGTTAGAGAACCACTGAAAAACCTGGGAGTACTGAAAAGCTATTTTGTCTCAGGTTAACACTGTTCATCACCGTGCACTCCCGGGGGTCGGACATAGGACCTTCTACCGACAAGGTGAGTTTTTAGAGCATTCAGCCACTATGACTCGACTTAATGACCCATGAATTCTAACTTCTGCTAATTCACGATGTATGGCGATGTAACCCTAGCCAATGTTATCGACGAGTAATTGTTGCCTAACCTTACTTGGTGAACTCCACTGTTCACTACTCCTCACTTAAGCTCCAAGTAACTTTCCCTATATTTATCGCTTTATTTTGTTTATAACTTGATTCAACACCATATTTTTGGCACAAGTATGGAATTTTCAGCATGTAATATTGGTAGCCCAAATTTTGCTGGCTAACCATTAATATCACGTGTGCGTCAGCAGGAGATCGAACCCCGTACCATGTACATGGTTGACAAGAGTCCTAAGCGCTGTGTTACCAACACCATTTGCTTCTAGGCTTCAGATCCAATTTCATTAATCCGAAATTTGGTCACGATCTAACATCAGTTTTTGATCATAATTCTTTATTAAAAATAAGAATTTTGAAATAAAGCAAAGATTTGTAAATCATTAGAACGATGAAAAATATGGGGTCTGTTTCCAATTACGTTCTTGGTTAAAAATGTTTCATCGCCAAACTGGGTTATGTCACTAACAATATCTTCAAACAAAGCAAGAACTACAGTTTTGTAGAATAAAGTGGTACCATCTTTTATTTCGTTGCCTTCTCGTCAGCTGCTTACAGGCTGCAAAAACTGTAGTTCTTGGTTTGTTCAAATTCACTAAGGGGAATAAATGTATGAAACAATATCTTCATTGGAAATTAAGTATATTTCGTCGTAGTTTGTCATTTTTAACGAATAGGTACTGATTGTCCTACGAGATATTGACCAGATGATGGACGAGTTACATAGAAAGTTAAAAAAGGAGTGAGGTTCTAAGCAAAAAAAGCAATAATTACTAATTTACACATCCTGCAGATTCGTGAACTGATGCAAACTACCGAAAAACCTGAAATCCCTAAGCCCAGTTCCTCATGAAATCAGATCGTTTATACAAACGACTGAGGATTATAAGATTAGAGAGACAAAATCATCTAGTGTGGCATGTGCTACTGATAAGATTTATTAGAAGTATATAAAGAGACCTTCATAGGCTTTAAAAAGATCAAATACCAGGGAGATAGATTTGATTTCAGGGAAAGCAAATGATTCATTGTTGCGGCGGAACATGAGAGACGTGAAAGGAACACAATATGAAGGAAGGCGAGATGAAGCACAACACGGAAGATCTGTGCAAATGGGGATTTGAAGATAAGGTGTACATAATTTTGCTATGTACAGATAGCAGATTCTATAGTTACACCGGCACCACTTGGCTTTGTAACAGTTCCCTCAGTGAATCTGTATTTGTTGCAAACCCTCTTTGAAGTCAGTTAACCTCTCAAGTAAATAACCAATCAGATAAAAGTCTACAACACAATGAAAGTATTCCTTCCAAGAACATATTTCCTGAGACATGAACAGGCACAAAAGTATTAGTTAAAGTTATGAATGAACAACATAAACAAAAACTGACTTACAATCTCTCTGATACATTCACTGGAGTATCCATTTCCTGCTGTTAAATTCTGTAATGCACCAGCTGCAGCTTCAAGTGTATATGGATTAGAACTACACTGTAGTAAAGCAATCAGTGTCTTGATTGATTCAATATCACCATATGGTGGCGGGATACTCTCTGATTTCGACTGACTCATCAGTAGCGTTGACGAAGAATCAGATAAAGCTGAAACATTTGATCAAATAAGAAACAGTGAGATAATGCGTTTGCTTACTTAATAGAGAAATATATATAAAATATGTAGTGATGATTACATATCGTTCATTCACAAGACAGCTGGACATCACCCGTAATGACTGCAGTAAAATGGTGAGAAGATGCAGATACAAGATGTGGGCATTGTGGTAGAATATGATTCCCTACTAGAAAGGTTTATTTGATATAACATATAGTGGTGCAATTTTCATAACTGGATGGCGTTTCCAGCACCATCTGTGTATTGCTCATAATCATATCAATGTATTCACACAACTCTCGCCTGTCTATTTATTGCATTTTTCCACATATCCAGGATAGATGTTACATTGCTTTAAATGCACGCATATGGCAGTGTTCGGATGAACAAAGACTCAATTATTAACTTCTCTGTCTATATTCACCTAATTATATTACTTTTCAATACTTCTAATACCTTTACTCTGTTCCACTATGTTGTTTGATTACGTGCAAATGAGTGCATTGCAAATAACTTAGGAGGATCAATTGTCATAGATTTAGCTATATTCTTATGTTCTGAGGATCTAATTGAGCATGCTGTACTAGTCTGACTTACGTAAATAAGCTCACGATCACTGTGTTATTATTATATTATTAGTATTATTCCCTTGGGTTTCGAGTAGAACATAGGGCTTCAACAACCCATCTCCACTTCCTTCTATTTTGTACAATCCTCTTCAGCTGTCTGAGCACACCATTGCTCATAATCTCTCATCTCCTCCTCCTCCTCAAAGGATCTCCTCCATGTCATCCTAGCATCGACGGTCCACTTTTTGCTTCCCATTGGGATTCCACTCGAGCGAAAGCTTGCATTGCGCGCGATATCATTCGATGGCCTCCATTTTCTCCCACATATTTCCTGAGCGATCGGCTCTGAGTTGGTTTGTTCATTGCCAGAGTTTTTTGTTGCTAATTCTTCCCCTCTCGCCATATGATCTTCAGTATGGAGCCAACCAGTGAAATTGGCAGCTATTGATAAAGGTCTGTAACTTGTCGGAGATCTGTTTCGTGACACGCCAAGTTTCTGACGTGTTGCATTCGGCAAATTTTTGTATTTCGCCTCACTGGATCTCTCGAGTCTTTATGTCTACAAAGTTTGTTTCGAAATGAGTTGGCTGATTTAAATGCCACTGTGGTAAACTAATTAACCTGGAAAAAAGCTTGGCAATTGCAATGCATTCATTTGCATGTAATCAGGTAATATGGTAAGACAGCGTAAGGGTATTGAAAACAATACATTTAGGTGGAGAGGGAGCGAGAGAAGTTAATCACTGAGTCTTTGTTCATCGGAACATTGTTAGACACGTGCAATTAAAGCGATACAGCACCTATCCTGGATTTATGGAAAAATGCAATTAGTAGACAGGAGGGAGTTGTGTGAATACATTGATATGATTATGAACAATCAATAAATGGTGCTGGGAACATCATCCAGTCATGAAAACTGTATCACTGTGTGTTATATCAAACAAACTTATATAATATCAAATGATAACCTGGTTAGGAAAACTGTCTCTAGTTAAAATAATGACTGATAGGTTGAATACTGGGTTCTCATTTCACATTCAGTCATTATCATTGACAAGAACAGCACCCAACACATTTATACTGCTTATCCTTGACACTTACCCTAACATCATAAAATATGGAGTGATGCTTTGCATTTCAGTTTGATATTTCATGTTAATTAGTTCATCCTTCTTAAATTGATTTTCCGCTTTAAACCAATCATCAGAAAAGGTAGCCCTACAACTTCAGGAGTGGTGTTATTTACATCTGAGTTTTTTGTGGGCGCATCTAGAATGCGGCATTCAGTGACGGATGCACTCAACTATCCTAGGGGTGATACGTAACCAATCAATCAATGATTGATCGTCAATACATCACTCAAAAGGTACATATATATTATGAGATTATATGAAATTGTTGTTTTTTCTACAATCATCTTATAACTGTGTAAGTTGAGGATAATAAAACACAAAAATTCATTTCGTATAAATAACCGAAGAGGAGATTTCCCTTCATGAAAACATATCAAACATCTTAATTATTTAAAAGAGACCGAGCTTAGTAAACAAAGAATATTCTTATCGTTAGCTTTTTCATCAGCCTCTACAGTTACATATATATAACAGTTAAACAACCACTGAAAACCACCAGGGAGTATTAGCCAACTATTTCGCCCTAGTTGGAGACTCTTCAGAAGTACTCATCCATCAGGGTTCGAACCCGGGATCTTCCGGTTACATGAAAAACTGAAGAGACCCAAACAAGGACGAAATGACTGTCTAGTACTCATTGATTTCCCAATGGTTCTCCAACTGATCTCAGCTCATTATCAACCGTGAAATAAATCAGATCCATACAAATTAACTGTTGAAAATATCTATAACTGTTAAAGAATCAATGTTATTGACAACATTATTATTTTTTTCAGATAACAGTGAGCTTGCATTTTCGAGTGGTGTATGCGAATAGATTATAGTTTCAAACATACGTGTATGTGATAATATCCATTGATGTAACACTAAACTGAACTTTGTCATTCAATAACAACTGATACATAGTAATGAATGTTCATGACTAATGTTCATACTGAATACTATTCGTGATGATTATAACCTTTATATGGATCGATGGTAATATCAAAAACGGAGAGAAATGAGGTAGAAGGTTATGTTTGTATATGAACCAGTGTGTAAAGTGAATTCCTAAGTTTAAGCAGATAGGTGAATGTAAAGGCAAAGGAAAATAAGCAATGTCCAAAGGTGGTTCTAAAGACCTCCGAATATTTGAAGAAAGTATAAAACAAATCAGCTATTGCACTACAGTCTATAGAAACGGGAGGTAAGATCGACTTTGGTAGGACTAAAAATTCTACAGAAAGATTGGCAGTCACTGGATCACCAACGCAATAGTCTGTATGCAGCACCTCAGTAATGTAGATTCTGAAGATTTGTAGTCTTTAATAAAGCGTTAAACCACGACGCATATATTCAGGTACATGTATCTTACTTTTAAATGATATTGGGCCAGTTTTGTCAGTATTTTCATTTGACACTAGTAACTAGTGTGATGCGTCTAGTCCTCTCTTTGGTGCAGACTGAATTCTATCAGTCAGGTTTGCAATGTGGCCACCATTCTAGATAGCTCGCCATCACGGTGTACATTGATTTGATGATATTAGATGGTTGGAGGCAATCGACAGGAAGCCTTGGACCTAGGTTTCGTGCTAGTTGGCACTCGTCAACAAGGCGTATCTGCAACCTTGAAGGAACTCATGTCCCTTCTGAGATTCAAACCCGCGTCACCCAGTGCTGCAGTCAGAGACGTTAACACTGAGCTATTCGGAGGTCAATCGCGAGCCCAAATAGCTCAGTGGTAACGTCTCTGACTGCAGCACTGGGTGACGCGGGTTTGAATCTCAGAAGGGACATGAGTTCCTTCAAGGTTGCAGATACGCCTTGTTGACGAGTGCCAACTAGCACGAAACCTAGGTCCAAGGCTTCCTGTCGATTGCCTCCAACAATCTAATATCAGTTTTGTCAGTAAAGTATAAATTTACAAAACAAATTAACTCATTAGGCAATGTACTACTAATTAGTAACATAATTAGTTTCCGAAAATTGTGAGGTATACATATATATATATATACATAAATTTCAAAGAAGTTTTCACCAAAAACTAGTTGGAGAAACATGTAGAACTGAGAAATGTTACGAAGGTATCCTGTATTGGGTTAAAACTTAAGACGAACGAACTTAAGACTATTCAGCTACTTAGTCAGTTATACGTTTTAGAATTAGCACAACACTGTCCAATAATGTCCAGAAAATATTTTCATCCACACCTGGTTCTGTCTTTAAATGAACTACTTTCTAGAGAAAAAATGAACAGTTTATAGTATTTTCGCAACACTACACTTGGGACTCGGCATAAACAACTTGTTTTTTTTAAGTGGGTGTTGAAATGGGAATTTTCATTTTTTTCTGGAATTAGAAAATGTAAACATACACCAGATTAAAATTAACACATGGTGAGAATGTAATGATGGGTTTTCATCATATGCTCCCTCTATTCTCTCTTTCAACACTCATTCTGTATCAGTAAATATTATATTTTCAAGAGTTAATTTGTAGGGATATGATCTGTTTCAAGTTTGACCACGGATTGATATCAGTTAGAAAACCATTGGATAACCAGCAGGGAATACTGAACAGCTGTTTCGTCCTACTTTGAGACTCTTCAGCTAGCCTTGCAATTAGAAAGTTCTGGATTTCAACCTTGGAGGTGGGTGCGTACTTCCGATGAGTCCGAAACTAACTGATATCAATCCATTGTCAAACCTGAAACTTTCTCTTGCTTATTCAGTGGTCTCAATATGGCTAAATGAATCTTTGCTTAGGTTATCGTCAGAAGATGAATGAATATTAAGATTTAAATAGTAGATGAAATGACAGAGTCAGTGAAAGAGAGTGTGACAGTTAGCCTAAGATAATGAAAAGTTAATAGATCTTAAGGGATAAAGCAACACCAAATGAATAAAGTCATTCTTGCATGATGACATAATATCCTGATGGGTAGAATTTCAACTATCAGATATAAAAACAGTTTCAACTAGATTTCAGACAGAGTGTACAAAGGCTTTCTTTGGTTAAAATGAGAAACTGTAAACAGGGGAATGTCGAGAAGCACAGAGAAGTAACTGCACAGATAGTGAAAAAAGTAAACAAACTCAGAATGCAAGTGATATGTAGTTTGTAAAGAAACACAATACTTCAAAATCAATTTAGACAGATCATCTATTCCCATAAGTATAGCACAAAATCCTAACATTAACAAAAGTTATGTGAATAAATCTGATTAGATTTAATCCCAGAAACTGAAAGTTTTTAGATCAAGAGGCTATATTTGTTTCATTAGGATATTAATCGGAACATCTTGAATAAGCATAATACGAATGGTATCAGAGTAGCTGAGAAGCAACCTCTAAACTTAACCACTTTTCATCCAAACATTACACTTTATTGTTGTATTTTCTGTACCGGCTTCCAATAATAGTATAGCAGAAGTGAATCGTCGACTATGCATGTGGTCCGAGGATCGATTCCCCACCGACGTACTCTGAAATCTCTCATAACAGCTAGTAACCCCTGTAAAAGGTGAAGGCCGGTCTGCTACTGAAACATTACAGCTCAGACTTGAAGCCATACGATCCACTGCCAACGCAAAGGAATACAGAGTGCTACGGAATAATTGCCCGCGAAATCCCTCCTCAAAGGTCTAATTACAATACTGATACTAATCTGGATTTTTCAAATAACTTCGCAGTAATTATCCGTCTTTCTTCTGGTCTGTATATCATTGTTCTGACGTTTCCTGGTCTTCGAACTCGAAGGAGATACCCACTTTTCTCTATGTAGTGCTTATCGAAGTTCATGTAGTTTATTTTGTAAATGGTATTAATTTTTCTTCTTTTTCTGTTGGTTCCTTTGGTTGGCGCAGTATCGAATGAAGTGAATGTATTGGCTTGTGTTCTATTTTCATTTCAAATGGTTTTAGTATTCTAACCGTTATTTCAAAGGTATTCTTTATATATAGTTGAGTGAATTTTCTTGTGGTCCTTGATGACAGTTTCTTCTTGGTGTTACGACTTGAGTTGAGACACTCTTTGACGAAACAGTGTAGGTATTCATTCTCTTCGAAGGCAGCTAGTAGGTGTTTCTCTTCCGTTACCTTCAGCACAAGACGGCAACAATGCTTACGGACTCTTTTAAACAATGTCCGCACACAGTCCCTTTTATGAATCATTGGGTTGTTGGTATTATAGTTGAGTATTTGATCTGCGAGCTTTGATTTTCTGAAAACTAGTGTTTCTAAATGTCCTGTGTTAATTCTCTTGGTTAAGATATCTAAGAATGGAATTTTGTTGTCTAATTCTTCTTCTCTTGTGAATTTAATGTCTTCAAATATATCGTTCATGGAAATTCAAATTCATTTCATACTAAAACCTGCGCTAAAGATGTTTTCTAGAAGGACAACGAAAGGTTTGCAATTAAATCAGCCAGCTCCGAGAACACAATTAAATCAGAATCATTCACTTGAGCTGCAAATCTCCTCAATTATTTCATGAACATTCTCTCTTACTCCTATTAGCATTACAATAGTTAAGCGTATTCAAGTTATTCACTCTTTCACTACAAGACGCATTGAGCAAGTGACTGTCTAACTGAAGTTTCTACATAGAATTGTACATAGAAATGCTTCACATCGAGTCATAAGATATGGAGTGTTCAAAGAATATAATTATTCACCTAATTATTTCATCACTTACCTTCAAAATCCATTGATCTCTTTGACTTCTTACCACTAGACAGACTGGAAGATTTAATTCTGAATAATGAATTACTGTGTGATTTCTCGTGAGTCAGTTGAGCTTTACTCTCTTGACCTGATGGTGTCAGTGAACGTCGAGAAATCTGTTGAGATTGTGGTTGCTGCTGTTGTTGTTTCTGTGATTTCTGCTGCTGCTGTTGCTGCGGATTAGCAATATGATTCTGTTGTTGTGGTTGTGGTTGTTGTAAGCCATAGCACAAATTACGAATTGTACAAACACAATGCTCTATTGATATCTTGTCATATAATCCATGGTCAACGGCATAGTGTAGTATAGCGTATAGACTAGTTGACAGTTGGGGACACTGACGCATTTGTTCTCTAATGTCATCATCTTCAGAACTGCTTATATTTCTTTAAAAATAAAAAATAAACAGAACACAGAGTTACTAACGAATCGACTACTTGTTCGAAGTGAAAAATGAGGACTTATAGTATTAAGTATTCTGTTGGGAAACGTTAATGTGAGGAATGTCTGTCGTGACATCATGCTTCATTTGGAAGGTTATTTAGGACTTACTTGAAAAAAGAGGTTGATGCATAACTTAGTGAATATTATTGAAATAATTTAACAGCAGTAAGACAACTGGAGTTAGATAAGGTATTCTAGGTGATAGGGGAGAAAGAGACTCACGTTTTGGGATTGACAAGGTGGACTGAGGTCGAACAAATTTCCTGCTATCATAATTCCTGGATATTCCGAATACCCGAAAGACTAATTCAGGTAATACACCACCAGTTACTATCGACAGAACAAATATTTAAGTGGTCATTTTCTTTAACTAATCTAAAAACCATCGCCTTAACTCCTAGCGCGCTGCAGGCATCAGGATTTCAAAACCAGAGTCGGAAAGACAACATAGATCTTCATCGCTCCGAAATTAGTCTGGAAATCTGTTGCAGTCACCAATAAGAACAAAGTTGTATGTTCAGCACTAATGTTAATATAGTCTCTTCTTCGGTATGGATCAGAAACTTGCCTCAAGCGTCACCAGAAGCAATTTTAACAGGCTACTGCAGAATTTTATCAACATCTGCCTTCGCTGAATCCATAAGGAAGATCAAATGACCAGAAGCAATCAGCAACAAGAAGCTCTATGAACAAGCTAATCAAGAAACTATTACCCATCATATATGTAAAAGATATTGGAGATGGATTAAACCCACACTGAGGAGACCGTCGATCGACATCGTGCGCCAGATCAGCACTTGAGTGGGAAGTGACGAGTTGGGCGTGTGTCCAAGGTTAACATCGATGAGATTTCATGGAGGATTTCATCATGAGCTGACATCACTTAGAGAACCATTGGAAAACCAGGGAGTACTGGACAGTTGTTTCGTCCTAGTTTCGGAATCATCGGTAGTACGCACTCACTGGGGTTCGAACCCAGGAATTTCCAGTACTCCCTGGTTTTCAATGGTTCGCTAACTGTTATCATTGTTGTTGAATGGGACCACATAGATCTACTGACGAACAACCGTCTTTTTGCTGCCTTTAGAGAATTTTTTGTCTGTGAGTGTCTCAAGGAAATTTTGGTCAGCTATCAATACAGTACCTAGACTGTCTTCCTGCGTTCAAACCATAACCAGTCGGTTGTTGTCGTTATACGTAATGGCAATAGTAAAGAATACATATCACAGCCTAATGAGCTTGAACTAACCAATCAAATTCTTCTAGACAAAATATGACATTTTAATATCAAAAGCATATTTACAGGATTTACAAACATAATAAAAATGATTTACACAGTCTATGTGTTTCTAACATGCTGCAGAAATAGACCCCACTTTTTACCAGGAGTAGTTATAGGCATAAAGCATTCTAATCCGATTTTTGGTGTGTCCAAAATCCTTCAATAGAATCTGTGTGAGTATCAGTTTTAGGGCCCAGTAATCCTGATAGATGACTGACTTTACGATGAATATTTCCTGATGATGATATTCACAACTCTCAACATTTCAAATAGATTCTGTCTATAATCTTGGTTGAAAGTTTCATCCACCCTAACGCTTCTCTAGCCTTAACGCCAATCTTACCCTGACCCTAACCCTACACTGACCTCAATCGTTACCATTACTCTAAATCAGGGTAAAACTTACAACAAAGACTATGAATATTAGATAGTTAGAGGCGATTGGCAGGAAGCCTCGTATGACCTAGGTTTCGGACTAGTTGGCACTCGTCAGCAAGGCGTATCTGACACCTTGAAGGAATTCATGTTTCTTCTGAGATTCGGACCTGTGTCACTCACAGCTGCAGTCAGGGATGTTACCACTTAGCTATTCAGGCTCGCGATTGACCTCCTGTAGGACTGTAGTGGATATTTTGATTGGGCACTAGTAACTAGTGCGACGTGTACCAAAGAAAGGAGTAGACACGTCCACTAGTTACTAGTGTCCAATCAAAAGACTATGAACAGCACTTTTTGTAGTGCGGAGCGATCTGATTGATTAGTTCAAAGCCACACAGCTGTGGCATCTATTCTTTACTGCTACTCGCATAGCTCAAGTTTTTGTCAGTGTGAACCTAGGACTTCTGTTGTGCATAAATGAAAAAAACTTGGACTTTTTGAATGGCTGAATTTAGCCTCGTAGATAACTTTAAAGGATAAACCACGTGAAGTTGGATGGCTTCCTTTGAACGTTCATATGTGGAAGATTTCGTCATCCTAAGTTTGCATTTCATCAACCTCCACTGACATCTATTCTTTCGTATGCTTCTGTGGAGGTGATTTCATTGGACATTGTTAGCGTAGTCACCAGAAACGCCTGGGCTAACTCTACCTGGTTTGGTTGATGACAAAGCCTTCTATCTATCAGCTTACCTTTACAAAAGCAAACATCTGACCTACTTTAGTTATTTTAAAAACACTGTTCTATGAATCCTATTTATGAATTACACTGTACTCACCGAACTAATGACGTGACAATTCTAAACAGCATACTACTGATAATTGATTCAGCCCCGTTATCTTTTGACCCGTAGACAGTTGTCTCTGTAGCAGCTGGTACAATAATCACATTCAACAGACTAGGAATTAATGCTTCTTGTAGTACACTTCGCTTTAAACAACTAACTGATGCTAAATTGCATAATACAGAGGCAGCATTCTCTAAAATTGATTTTACAGCTTGATGTAAATCGTCGTATTCAGTAGTACCATTGAAATGATAAGTATGCGAATTACTACTGGATACAGGATAATTTAAATCTTTGAAAGAATCTACACTTGTTCCATAGACTTGACGATTTTCAATTAACCAGGCTAAGGCACGTACACCACCGACTCTTTCTAACTCCTTCTGTTGAATGAAATCAAAACAAAAAAAATAGAAATCAAATGATTAGTGTAAAGTATAAAGTATGTCCTGTAGTAGAATGCAATATACATAGAACTAGATGTAATCTCACTGTGGTTCCCTCTATAAATCAGATGTGTTGATATCATAGTATAACTCCATTATGAATAAAATTTTTATTTTCGATAAAATCACACAGTGTTTTATAGTAATATTTACTGATGACCACGTTCCCTATGTCAAATCGAGAATCGGGAAGGCGAGAAACACATTCATCAACCTGAAACCAATCCGGAAATCTTCGTCACTCAACTCAGCATCAACAACAAAATGATTCGGATTTTCAATACAAACGTCAAGTCAGTCAGTTCTTCTATACGGATCAGAAACTTGGTGAGTGTGTCACAAAGAATATTTCCAACAGCCTGTTGCAGACCTTTATCAACAGCTGTCTTCGCTCTATACTCAAGATCAGATGGCCGGAAAGAATCGCCAACAAGAAACTATGGGAAGAAACAAAACAAGAACCAATCGCTCAACAAATATGCAGGAAAAAGTGAGGATGAATTGGACACTCGCTGACGAGGCCGTTGGGTGACATCGGGCGTCAGGCCAGTGCTCTAATGGAGCCGGATAGGGAATCGGCGAGTGGTTCGTTGGTGCAAGGGTGACATGGAGGAGATCGTGTGAAGAGGAGTTGAAACAGTATGGACTCACATGGATGCAAGTGAAAAGTACAGCATAAGACAGAAGCAAGTGGAGGCGTGCAGTTGGCACCCTATTTTCCACTAGGGACCCAAGGAACAATAATAATACGTTTCGAGCACAATTTATCACTACTCATAATCATATCAAGGCATTACTCACACATTGTTCTTGCTCCATTCATACAGACGAGTAAAGACTGATGATTAGACATTTGAATAAAATCAATATAAGATAAAGTACATTCGGAAATGTTATTAGTGTTATCAATAAAATATAATCAGATGGGAAATAAGATGTCTTTTATAGTTAAAATAAGTAATTTGTTAGAATGTTATAATGTGAATTGAATTGAATACATTTTAACATTATTTATTATTCTCTGATTTGACTGGTAATAATATCTTCCATATCTCTGGTAATTGCATTGATTCACTTCTGTTGCATGTGTTGGGTGTAGACTCGATGAACCAGTCAGGATTCAGTAATCAATCTCTCTCCACCTACATAGATTACTTCTTAGAATTTTAACCCTCTCCTATGCTATTGTGCAGTTGTGTGTTAATGCATGCATTGCAACTGCTGAGCTAATTTCTGAATTACTTATCTTCGTGGGATCAATCATTCTAACCTTAGCTAAATTCTTATGTTCTGTTAATCTGACTATTCGTGAACTACTAGTTTGACCTATGTAGTTGACTTAGCTCACAGTCATTGTAAGGTATTTTGTAAATTATATTATTTTGTTTAATTGGGTCAACCGACAAGGTCCTTTAGCCTACAGAGCTTGTTTCTGGGTGAGTTTGTGAGTTTGAATGCTACCCTCATTCATGTTTTATTGGGAATCCTACGTAGGGTCTCAAATGTGCCCTCCTTATATGGTAAAACTGTAGATGGGTTATATTCTTTCTCATTTATGTTATCATTATAAGTTTCCACCATTATTTTTTATTTTCCTTTTGACCTTTTTTGATATTCCTGATGAATTTTATAGGATAGTTATTTAGCACCAACGCCTCTTCTATCTGTTTCATTTCACCGGATATTTTCTCTTTAATACAACAATTAGTATCATGATTGCAGTAATAAATTTGCGTGTAATACATGCTGTGATGCGTGTTACTGACAATACTTTTAAGTAGTATATATATATCACCTGCAAGAATATCGTAGGCCCGAGAGATGGATTTAGTAGCGAAGAGAAGAAATGAACGATGATTGTGAAACAACACGGAGAACATGAAAAGAAGAAGCACAATTTGGAAGAAAAAAGTAGCACAATACTGAAGATACTTGTGAATTGTGATTCCAAAAGTATGATAGACATATTTTGTTTATATCTGTATATCGAAATGCCAATAAGTAATCCCGCTGTCAAATACACAAGTCCGTCAATATAAATTTTAATCACCATCGGCATATATCATGCGTTATGCCAGCGTTATACTACAGTTAATTAGAACTGATTTATTCGCATTCGTCACCAAGGTATATCCGTGAACTTGAAGGAACTGATGCCTCCCTACAAGATACAAACTCGCATTACATAGCACGATGACTACTCACAGTGCTGCATGACGCCAAGTCACCTAGCTTGGAGGCTATCATATAGACATAACAAATGATAATCAAGTTAGAATCAACAGAAATGAACTAGACAAATGATACTGATTCTCCTTTAGTGACCAAACAATGGCTCTAACTGTCTATGACCTGTCTTACATCAACATCAGTCTACAAGAGTTCTAACAGAATATTTATTTCACCAAGTCACTGAATAAAAATTGAAAGAAATTCACCACACTCTGTCTTTAAAAAAAGTAATTATATATTATTATATTTATTGTCCCTTGGGTTCCTAGTGGAACATAAGGCGCCAACTGTACGTCTCCACTTGCTTCTGTCTTCTGCCGTACTTTTCACTTGCATCCATGTTAGTCCATGCTGTTTCAACTCCTCTTCACACGATCTCCTCCATGTCACCCTTGCACCAACGAACCACTCGCCGATTCCCTATCCGGCTCCATTAGAGCACTGGCCTGACGCCCGATGTCACCCAACGGCCTCGTCAGCGAGTGTCCAATTCATCCTCACTTTTTCCTGCATATTTGTTGAGCGATTGGTTCTTGTTTTGTTTCTTCCCATAGTTTCTTGTTGGCGATTCTTTCCGGCCATCTGATCTTGAGTATAGAGCGAAGACAGCTGTTGATAAAGGTCTGCAACAGGCTGTTGGAAATATTCTTTGTGACACACTCACCAAGTTTCTGATCCGTATAGAAGAACTGACTGACTTGACGTTTGTATTGAAAATCCGAATCATTTTGTTGTTGATGCTGAGTTGAGTGACGAAGATTTCCGGATTGGTTTCAGGTTGATGAATGTGTTTCTCGCCTTTCTGATTCTCGATTTGACATCCTCGTCCGTTCCTCCTGTAGTTGAGACAATGCTCCCTAGCTAGATAAGTGAATGAAGTAACCTCTTTCAAATCCCTCTCGTTGATGGTAATTGGCGCTGGATGTTGCTGCTGTTGTTGTTGTTGTTGGTTGGTTGGTTATTTTCATAACCTCCGTCTTGTCTATGTTCACCTGGAGTCCTGTCTTTTCTGCTTCTTCGACCAGTTTGTCGGTTAAGAATGATATAATACTAAACCAGAATAACAATCTTAATTGTGTGGACGACTTTTTAATTTTTAATGGCATATAAATTCAGAGACTTAAAGGCAGAAAACAGCAAGTTGGCAGGAGAGACAGGTAGTGAAGACAGGACTTCAAGTAAACATGGAGAAGACAGAGGTGATGAAGATCACCAGCCAACCGACTAACCACCACAACTCACTGTTCACTATCAACAGAATAAATCGGAATAAAGTCACTTCCTTCACTTATCTAGGAAGCATCGTTCCACCTACAGGCAGTCGTCACTAATGAGGATGTCGAAACCAGAACTGTAAAAAGACAAAACATACACTCATCACTCTGGAACCAGCTTTGAAATCTACTGCACTCAGGATAAGCAACAAAATTTGGATCTTACACTGTAATGTTAAGTTAGTCAGTTCTTCTTTATGGGTCAGAAACTTGCCACTTCACCAAATGTATTTCCAACTACCATCTGCAGACGTTTACCAACAGCCACTTTCTCCATCTTTATACTATATACCAGATGGCGGGAAAGAATTAGCGACAAGAAGCTCTTGAAACGAAACAATTAAGAGCCTGCTATCCAACAAATATTCTGATGAGAATGGAGATGGATGGGACACACGCTGAGGAGATCAGTGAGTAACATTACGCGCTAGGCGATCACTCGAGTGGAACCCAAACAGAAAACGACGAGTAGAGCGTGGGTCCAAAGGTGATATGGTGGGGATTGTACAAGAGGGGGAGATGAAAGTTGTGGAGCTGGCTGAAGAGGACTTCAGAGAACAGGCCAAATTGGAGATGTGTTGTTGAAGCTGTATGTTCCACTGGGAACCCAAAGGAATATTAATAATAATAATACCAGCATAAATAAAACATCAAACCAGACACCTAGTGGATACGGGTCATTTTGTCGAGATTTCCAAATCCTTCAAAATATTAAACACACAAAGGACAGCGAATTTACTACGATTGACTGCTGAAGCAATTGCAATCAAACGTCTCAGACACTTACAGAAAGAGAGTGTAGTAAATCTCTCACTACCTTGATAACCGTATTACTTTCATTACACTGATTAGTCATACACACTAGTGAGCTCAGCTCACTAAGTAAGTTTTCAGTTTGATGAACATTAACCTTCTTGAGTTGCCATGTTTATTTTATTAGATTTTTCTGTTTTCTGTCTTCTGTCACCCTCCTCCCTTTTTTTCATAGTTTGATAATATATAAAGAAAATAAAAGACATATTCAGCGAAGAAAATTTTCTTTATTGATGAAATCATCTTCAGAGGCTGTACAGTCGTACTTATACTTACAAAAATATATAGTGGTCTATTATTGAGTAATAGGTGGTAACATAACTGATGTAATTACTCGGAAGTGGCTTTAGAATTAAAAAACAAAAGTTGTAAAATACGTGGTACTCAATGGCACAAAGTTCGAAATTTGATAAGGTTAAAATTGCTATTGAGTGAGAATAAAGGTAGTTGAGTGTCAATTTATTAAGTGTGAAGAGGGTGTGGAAATGTACAAAAGGAACATTTGAGAGTGACAATAGTGAATTAATTATTAAAGCAAAAGCAAACTAAAAGTAAAATGAAAAGTGAAAAGAAAAAATCAAAATTTTTTATTTACACAAAAGCCGAAACCTGACGCCCTTTGTACCATTTGACTTCACTTTGTAGATGATCTTGGAAGACGACTCTAGTGGAGCTACGTGGCCTGAGTTCACCAAATGCTCAAGAATTGAGCTAGTAATTGTCTTACATTGTCCCTTTGCTAACCATGCCGGATAATGTTCAGAGATGCGTTTGGAAAGCGTGCGCTTTGTGCGGCCAATATAACTAGCTCCACACGAGCAGGTGAATTTATAAACGCACATTGAGGTGGCCCAAAGCGGCAGTTTATCCTTCATACAACAAATGATCATTTATCGACTGCAGAAATTGATACGTAGCTCAGGCATAAAGAAGACTTTCCTCAGTGATCTGCATAAGCGATTCTTCAGGATCTCAGCTGCGGTATCACCTTTAAATTCAACACTCATAAATAGCAGTTTCTTCGGCACCGTCTGGATTCTTTCAGGCTTTTCCCTTAGCTTCATGTTTTTCTCGATAAATCTTGGAGGATATCCATTCTCTATGAGGACTTGTCTGAGTCGCCCCAGTTCCCCATCGATTGTATCACTTGAACATATCCTCCTTATTCTTGAGGATAAGGAATGGATCAGATTTCTCTTTCTTCTCAAAGGGACCCAGCTATGGAAATTTGTGTACTGACCATTCCATGTTGGTTTCCTGTAGATTGATCCTTGAAGAGAACCGTCAGATCTCATTTTTAGAAAACATTCCAAAAAATGGAATTCTGAGTTAATCTCTGATTCCGACGTGAACTTGATGGCATGATGGCAGCTGTTGAACTCTTTAGTTATCAATTCGATGTCGGTATTGTCGTCACCCCCTATTACTCAATAATTGACCACTATATATTTTTTGGTAAGTATAAATACGACTGTACAGCCTCTGAAGATGATTTCGTCGATAAAGAAAATTTTCTTCGCTGAATCCGTCTTTTATTTTCTTCATGACTCAATGGGTATTTTCGGTGATAGTATATAAATTGATGGTAACTTTAACTAGAGATTGTAATACTTATATTTCGGATGCGTTTTCTCTTTTATCTTTCAAACAGTGAAGTATGAAATGTTATTATTTATAACCAATGTAATTTCAGACAGTGGTTTGCAGCTGATGAGAACCTGTGAAATAGAATAATGATATCATTTTACACTGCAAATCTGGTCTTTCTTTCTCTATCGAAATTTTTCAAGGGAACCAAATGTGTGTGAAAACATCGAATAGACTAAACATTCACATACACAATCAATTTCTGTAATATTCACTACTGTTCAGTGAACAAAGCATGCTGAAACAAGCAAGACACACAGTCATTACCGCCACCTGTTGGTAATTAATGCATTATAATAATTAAGCCTTGTTGATTCACATGTTACGTAAGCTGTTTTTAACGTATACAACACATACATACATGTATTTTCCTTTCTTTCCTTTTTTTCCTTTGCATCATTAAAGAAGTGTTAATGAGTTAAAATACGGCTTTGTTTCTCATAAATATATTCCCTCACCTATTCACATGATATTCTTGTCTAATTTCACTTGATACTGATACTGATTTTCTTTTTTTTCCTATTTTCTTTTTTGATTGATAGACCCCTATAAACTTGGTAAATTATTAAGTGAAGTAATTATGGCCTTACTTATGTTGTTAGTCTGGAAGAAATCACAGTGAAACTGCCCTACCCTTTACCAATTTCATGTGTGCATATGGATAAATAGACAATTAGGAATAAGTAGTGTTAATAAGCGTTAAAACAAGGGCTTATTTACATTACTGTAACCTCCATTTAACAAAGTCTGTTATATTACCACTGTGTTCAATCACAACCTCTAATTGTGTACTGAATGATTAGTTGTTTATCACACTTAAACATCAGTTTATTATAAAGTATTAATGGTCTGGTCAGTTGTCTATATGTTTACTGAATAAGTGGAAAACCTGGGAGTACTGGACAGACTATTTCGTCAGTCACGTTTGGAACTCTCCAGCAGTACGCACCTACCGCCAGGGTTCGAACCCAGGACCTTCTGGTTAAAAGGCCAGCGAGCTCGTAGACCATTAAGTCACTCCATGAATTCCAGCTTCTACCAATTCCTGACATGGTGTGACCACTAGCGAATGTTGTCGGCAAGTATTTGTCCTCACGCCCGACCTGCTGTAACCCACTGGTCATGGCTTCCCTACTAGAACCCCAGGTAACTGCCTGAATAGGGGCAGTCGCTAGTGAGCATCAGATCACTCTTCAAGTATTGGCTTGCAAGGATTTTGTTTGATAGGTTGGAGGATTTCATCATGAGCAAACATTGGTTTGAACCTGGGTTCGAACACAGATGGGTGCATACTGACTGATGAAGAGTCCCGAACTCGACTTACGAAACAGCTGTCCAGTATTCCCTGCACGTTTTCCAATGATTCTCTAACCGATGTCAGCACATGATGAAATCCTGTAACTAATCAATCAAATCCCTAAAAACCAATACTTGAATATCAATGAGATGCTCACTAACGACTGGCACCATTCAGGTAGGACTTATTATTTTCACATGTCAGAAAAAGATATCTTGTGTAATATTTCTATGCCTTTCTTATACATTATTTTCATGAATATATATATATTTTATACCTGAAAATAGCCTTTTTCACGCGAAAGGTGAGCTCAAGATCATTTGTTAATTAGTGGTTACTTCTGCCTAAAGCCTCACTTCGTCTTAGTACCAACAATAAAACTAACACATCTGGAGAGGAAATTCTGAATATACGACTTACATCTTTAAATTACGCGATTGCTTTCATTATAATCAATATAGCAGACAAATCTGAACTTCATTTTCACTTCAATGCATTATCTGTATCACCCCATTTTTGTCCATTAATTAAGAAACTAATACTTTTACACTCATATGTCTGTTGAAAGATATTTCCTAGTCGTTGGCTTTCACAAAACTTGATTGAGTTTGAGCTAAGTCACAAGCTGAAATCAGTTACAGAATCAATGAGAACCAGGGAGTAGTGGAAAGCTGTTTCGTCCTACAAGTTTGGGACTCTTCAAAAGTAAGCATCCATGACCCTATCAGGGACAAAACTCAAGATATTTGGCCTCTGAGGTGAACCTGTTTTCTATTTTAAACACTGTCAAGGAATCCATGTGACCCAGGGATCCCAACTTCTGCGAATGGACTGTGTATTATAGCATGACTACCAGTTAATGTCAACGAAGACTTACAAGCGAAAACTGACAAACTGGTGGAAGAAGCAGCCAGAGAAGACAGGACTCCAGGTGAACATAGACAAGACGGAGGTTATGAAAATAACCAACCAACCAACAACAACAACAACAGCAGCAACATCCAGCGCCAATTACCATCAACGAGAGGGATTTGAAAGAGGTTACTTCATTCACTTATCTAGCTAGGGAGCATTGTCTCAACTACAGGAGGAACGGACGAGGATGTCAAATCGAGAATCAGAAAGGCGAGAAACACATTCATCAACCTGAAACCAATCCGGAAATCTTCGTCACTCAACTCAGCATCAACAACAAAATGATTCGGATTTTCAATACAAACGTCAAGTCAGTCAGTTCTTCTATACGGATCAGAAACTTGGTGAGTGTGTCACAAAGAATATTTCCAACAGCCTGTTGCAGACCTTTATCAACAGCTGTCTTCGCTCTATACTCAAGATCAGATGGCCGGAAAGAATCGCCAACAAGAAACTATGGGAAGAAACAAAACAAGAACCAATCGCTCAACAAATATGCAGGAAAAAGTGAGGATGAATTGGACACTCGCTGACGAGGCCGTTGGGTGACATCGGGCGTCAGGCCAGTGCTCTAATGGAGCCGGATAGGGAATCGGCGAGTGGTTCGTTGGTGCAAGGGTGACATGGAGGAGATCGTGTGAAGAGGAGTTGAAACAGCATGGACTAACATGGATGCAAGTGAAAAGTACGGCAGAAGACAGAAGCAAGTGGAGACGTGCAGTTGAAGCCTTATATTCCACTAGGAACCCAAGGGAACAATAATAATATAATAATAAGGAAAATTTAACCTCACAGCTGATTGATGGATCCTACTGGTCAGAAGTTTTCACTGAGTATTCCATCACACAACCCAACGAGTAGTTCATGGTTACGTACAGCTGCTTCTCAGTGCTTCCTGGTGTGCATTATTTCTCTGACTGATGTCATTTTGTCATCTAACTTGAAAGGACATCCTGCTATACGATCTAATAGAAATCCTGAGAGGTTGAAATATTCGGGTAATACATACTATCTGCACACTAAATTCATGTGCTTGAAATTTACCATAATATGTTAATTAGTTACAGGACTTTATCATGAACAGATATCGGTTAGGGGACCACTGGAAAACCAGTACTGGAGTACTGGACAGCTGTTTTCTCCTAGCTTGGGACTCTTCATAGTACTTACCCACCACTAGGGCTCGAACCCAGAGCCTTCCGCTTACAAGGAGAGCTCGTAGATCATCAGGCGACTTCTGCCAATTCACGACATAGCGCAACCACCAGGGAATGTCTTCGACTAGTATTTGTCCTTGCACCCAACTTGATGCGCGCCACTGGTCACGACCTCCCACTACTCATGATAAAATCCTGTAACCAATCAATCGAATCCCTCTAAACAAATACTTGAATATGTTAATTTACAACCAACTCAGAGGCGAAAATAAAAAAAACTGTTATCTACTGCAATGAATTAAAACAGAAGTGTATAAAATCTATCTAGGATCGATCACATAACCTTCAGGTTTTACACAGGTCAGTTAGAATTGATCGGTTAATATGATATGCATGGTATATACCTACATGCGGGTCATTATTTTGCTTGTATTTATGCAAATGTATTTGTGAATTTTGATTTGATCTAGTCACTCCATAAAAATATACAATTTTCTATGCTGACAGTGTTACTTTTCTACTTGAAATGAAACAATATTCAGTGAATAATAACTACCAGCTCAGTGAACTAACTGTGCATGAGATCATTTTAGAAATACCGAAAAAAATATGTCGAATTATATACCGTAAAATGATTTGACCTTAGAAATTCGACTGATTTCGTTTTTACAGGGTTTTTTGAGTTTTCCGACAATCTCAGAACTTACAGGTATGCAAATTATATGACAGAAAAAAGAAAATAGAATCCACTGGTACATATCATCATGAATGAACTGATTAATATACAAAAGTAACAGTGAGCATAAGAGAGTGAATTACTATTCTAAGCATGCTTCCATTGTGTGAAGAAGTGGAAATGTTAGTGTTGTGTAACCGCACGGCTTCATGAATTAGCTGTCTCACAGAAATCCTGTTGACAAGTAAAATGTATGTCCTTTAGTTTTGGTATTAGCGGACGCCTTATCGTTTTTCACGAATTCATTTCTTATTTGCCAACTGTATTTTTAGTGATTTTGATAACATACAGGTAATCGGAGTTTACCTGTGATGCATAGAGTATGACGACTGACGATATATGAGATATCCAGGTAAGCAAGAAGCCTTAATGTCATTTAAACCATACTGCGTGCGTCTGTGGCACAGCAGCAGAATAATCGCTAACCTCACATGTGGTTCGGGGTTCGATCTACAGCCTATTCACTTCCAAACCTTGCTTAGCCGGTAATAAGAGTGGTAAAGAGGGAAGGTTGGGCATAAGGCTAGCAGTATTATCCAGTAAAAATAAACACCACTGCTACCGAAACTTAGAGCCTGTAGATTGAATCACTATGTTCCACCGGAAACCTAAAGGAATAAAATAATTAATTAACTAAACCGTACTACTGAAATCGATTTAGCTATCCATACCACCCTGTAGAGGAAACAACATTCATAATTTTTTACATTTTGTCACATTAGTGCTTCTTTGTGGATCATAGACTTGTTGTAGGCGTCAATAAAACCCTTCCCGACTCACGTCATCACGTGGAAGGCTGTCCAGAAAAGGTGAGCGACACAAAATTCTAAAAGTGGCAAGTTCGCTAACAAACGAATTATGCAAAAAGTTGGCAGAAGGAAATGAAACTAAATTGAGCATATGCTGAGAAGATATTCAAGTGACATGGCCATTAGTAGAACTTGAATGGGCAGTCATAGGTTAGGTATCCGAGAATAAAGGTATCACTTATATGTTCGATGTCGATGTGAAATACCCTTCGGGGTAGATTTCGTCACATGTCGACATATAGGAAACGAAACAACTACTTTTTCCTATTTCACCATTCTTCAAACAGTTTAAGAGATCGATATCAAGAAGCAGTGAGTTATAATCACTTAGACTGCAAATCAGCCAATAGCACAGAGTTCCCAACTATAGCAATCGTCTTATTCTAATTTTGAAAGGACAGCATGCATATATTTATCACAATATGAATCACATTGGGCCATCTGAAAGCAATTTTAAGCATTTTAGTCATCAGAATCAAAAGTATGTCAGTCGCTTTCCCCACTATCTAAAAATTGTGAAGCGATTGATCAACTATAAAACCCCAAGAATGACAAATTTATAAACTTATCAACCGTTCTTTCATTTCACAGTCGACAGAAGAAGCATCCAGAGAAGATAGGACTTCAGGTGAACATAGAGAAAACAGAGGTGATGAAGATTCCTGGTCAACAGCAACAGCAACAACCACAACAACAGACAACAATCAGCATAAATGGGGGAAATTTGAAAGAAGCAACCTCCTTTACCTGCCAACCTGGGAAGCATCGTTTCAACTACAGGCAGGCAGAGCTGACGAGGATATCAAAGCGAGGATAGGGAAAGCAAGGCAAGTTTTCATTACTCTCAAGTCTGTGTGGAGGTCAACAGCAGTCAGCATGAAAATAAGATACGGATTTTCAACTTCAATGTCAATTCAGTGCTACTATACAGATTAGAGACTTGGCGCGGAGTCACGAAGAGCACTTCGAACAAACTACACAACTTCATTAACATCTGTCTCCACTCAGTACTACTCAAGATCAATTGGTCAGAAAGAATAAGCAACAGGATTCTCTAGGAGCGAACCAACCCAGCAGGAACCAATTGTGCAACAAATATGCAGGAAGAAATGGAGGTGGATTGGCCATACTCTGAGAAAATAAACCATCAATCGAGTGACATCACACGCTAAGCAATCGCTCGAGTGGAAACCAAATAGGAAGTGGCGAGTTGTTTGTCAGTGTGAGGCTGGGGTGACATGGAGGAGGTGATGTGAAGAAGAGATGACAGCATGTGGGCATAAGTGGAGCCAGGCGAGAACATTGACGGCGAACCTCTAGGAACTAAAGGAGATGACAATAATTAATACTAATGACATCAAAAGTCAGTGAAACCACCAATAACGTCAGTACTGAAATTCTGGTTGACATTAAGACCACAGGTATTCGTATGCATCAACACATTTTGTTTTGCAGTCTGGAGTGTGTTATCTTCAGTGCTTATATTACTTTTTATGTTGTTTAAATCTTCATAAATAGATGACAACTATCAATTCAATAATGGGTATATATGGATATTTATGCTAAAGGATATCTTATTAAACAAAACTCACCTTAATAGCTAGTGTATCTCCACATGTTAAATTCCGTAATACACCGACAGCATTTAAGCATACACGTGTATGATCTGAATAAAGTAACTGAACTAAGGCTGATATACCACCGGAAAGTCTACAAAAAATAAGAGAAATTACCTTTGAAACTATGTAAAATAGAAGTTCATTTTAAAAAAGATTAAAATTTCAGAAAATATCACAGATAGAGATCATAGACGGTCTCGATAAGTTGAAATTTTGAGCCTGTATTGTGTTGTTGAACTGCAAAAGTATCATTATCTTTCTAGTCAACATCTTCAGTGTTACCATGAGAAATTTTTATTTCCTTCCTATTTAACTACAAATCATGGAAAGCATGAGGTAAGCTATTGCTAAGTTTTCTTGATAGTATCTAGTAGTAACAAAATTCAGTGTTCATAAATAACAGTTTCTTCGGCACCATCTGGGTTCTTTCAGTCTTTTGCTTTAACTTCGTGTTTTTCCCGATGAATCTTGGATGATATCCATTTTCTTTGAGGACTTGTCTGAGTCGCTCCAGCTCCCTATCGATTATATCACTGGTACATAGCCGTTTTATTCTTGAGGATAAGGAGTGGATCAGATTTGTGGTCCGGAGTTCGATCCCCGGCCACCAACGCACTCTTAAACCTCGCTTAGCTGATAAAAAGCTTAGCAAAGAGGGAAGGTTGACTGTCAGACTAGAAATTCCACCTCATAAAAATATAAATGAAACCACTGCTACCGAAACTCCAAAGCTCTAGCCTGAAGTATTATGTTCTACTGGGAACGCAAAAGAATCAAATAATAATAATAGTAATGATTCGGTCGGTCGGTCGGCCGGTTTTCGACCTAGAACTTTGCACATATGTGTGGCAGTTCAAGTCGCCACACTCCATGCACCACACAAAGCTAGAGAAGAAAGTAGAAGAAATGCATAATATAGTCAGTAAACAGAGGTGTGAGACAAAGGAATAGTAATAATGGAGAACAAAACAGTTTCATTGGAAATCATAAGTCACGAGGAGTGGATGCATCTGCAACAGCCACTGAGAACGATTTTGAGCTAGCCATGTCACCAATTGTTTCCTAACATTGGTTTTTACCGTCCCGAGGACCCCAACCAGTCAGGAAGTCTACACCTTCCTACGTGTCTGGCTTAAACTAACTGTTGTGGATTTCATTGACTGGTGCCATGTTTTGGTTTGACCGCCGCTAGCTCTTTTCCAGTCTGGCCCTATCTCAGCTAACATTGCCCATCGAGGAAGGCGATGACTAGGCATACGTAACACATGTCCTAACCATCTCAGTCGATGTAATTTAACAGCCTCGTCGATTGATTTCCCCTCCTTACCTAGCACTCGATGCCTAACCTCAATATTGCTCACCTTATTATACCACTTCACGTGGGAGATAGAACGCGGACACCTATGATCGAACACAGCTAATCTTTTCATGTCTTCTGCTCTTAATGGCCAGGTCTCACAGCCATAAAGGAGGATGGAGCAGTACATAGTTGATAGTCAGATATCACGTCTACGCCAGAGACGGCGTAAACTGATGATTATGATTATTATGACAACTCATCACTTTTGTTACTATTCTCTTTCATGAAAAAAAGTTGTAAATAAATGCAGTTGTACAGCTTAGTGGGTGAATTTGTCAAAAAAAGACTCTTCTCTGCTGAATTACTTGTTTTGTTTTCATTAGATATTTGGATAGGGATTAGTTACGAATTCAATCAAATATCGTGAATTTGATGTATCAATGACTTGGCTATTTGAATAGTATTCATACGCTTACTCATCATGTAAGCTATTGAAATTGAATTAAAAAGGACGTTTTAATCTTAATAGTACATTATGAATAGCTGTAAGTCTACGATATATTCGTGAGTGACTATACACTATTAATTGTCAAACCATTAATAGACCACACCAGTGATATAGTCTGAATAATTCATATATTTTTTTACCTAAACAAGTTATACTTGAACATAATTATTCATAATTCTATACTTATTATAAGTAACATAATATGTTTGATCTAAAAACACTACCTATATGTACATAATTTTATTTCCATATGTTCATCTATGCGTCATAGCTTGCACAACAGTAAATAATTATAACAGCGTATGTACATTTTAAAAAAAGCACTTTCAATGTATCATGAAGGTAATTATTTGTAGATTTATTAATATACCACTATGGATTAAAACTTCTAAGCGGGGAAATCTACTTTTCACATATATAATAAATAGACTATCTACCTACGCTTTATTTTTCATACAAAATAACTTTCTATGCAAATGTAATAATCAAAAATAGGTCGTAAATAATGATGTTAATAATAACAATAATAATGGTTAACAGTTGTGCATAAATAAGAACACCTGATATGGGATTCGAACCAATCACGATGTGATGCAGATAGTCTCATGCTCTACAGACTGAGTTAACCTGGTACAATGATCAACATAGTAGATATTAGGTGGTTGAAGAACTAGGTTTCGTGCTAGTTGGCATTCACTATTCAGCAAGGCGTATCTGCAACCTTGAAAGAACTCATGTCACTTCCGAGGCTTCCAACCACGTCACCAAGTGTTGCAGTCAGAGACGTAATCAGACGTCAAACTAGTTACTGACTAGTGTTCAGTTAAAAATTATCCGGTACAGTTAGTCCTACAGGAGGTCAATCGCGAGTCCGAATAGCTATTCAATACCCAATTCAAGTGTTGGTTTGTAGGAATCTGACTAGTTTCAGGATCTTATCGTGAAATGATATCGATTAAAGGACCATTGGAAAACCTAGAAGTGAGGACAGTTGTTTTGTCCTTGTTTTGGACTCTTCACAGTACGCACGCACCTACTCAGGACCTTCCAGTTACAATACTAGCTCTTAGACCATGAGGCCACTGAGACCCGATCCACTGACCACTCCATAAATCCCAATTTCTGCCAATTCATGATGTAACGCCATCAATAGCCAATGTCATCCTTCATGGATATTTGTCCCCACAACCAATCTGCTATACCTCACTGGTCACGACTTCGCCTATATATACAGTTACTCAGAATTATCCTGTTAGGGAATCATTCCTTATGCTTTCACATGGCATTTTCATCGGTGTGGTATCATATGTGGTTCTGCATTCCTCTTCTAAGAAAGCGTCACACAGTGTACAAATTGAAATTTCACCGAAGTTTTGACTGGAAACCAAAATTATTCAGATCATATATTGTGATCTATTAAACATCATAAATGGTCATCAAGAAATGGAAAGTATACAAGTATGAAGGAATATTCCACTGATTGATTAATATGGGTACTTGGATACTACTCACATCAACTATTAGCGTTCATTAGGAGTTTATAAGATGATTAGAGGGATATTATATAAAAATTTTTGTCTCAGCGAATTTCATCACTAGCTGGCATCAGTCAGAGTACTACTGAGAACTGTTTGCACCTAATCTAAGATATTTAAGCGGTACCTTCCCCCCGTCACCATTGAAAGATGGGTTGGCCCAAAGAACGTCAAAATTGAAAAACTGGCTGATTAACCTTTTCTATTTCTTCATGTTCCGAATGGAACATAAGATTACAAGCCTGAGCTTTGAAATTCCAGTAGCGGTAGTGTTATTTTCAAGGGGTGGTGGGAGTAAACTTCTCTCTTAACAGGCTCTGCCAGGTTTAGGTAACTCTAAATATAAGTGACCCAAACGAACAACCCAAATAAATGGGAATCATGACCATGATCAACCATCAGGCGATCCAAAACCAAGAACGCAGGTATATAAATGCAGTACATGAACTACTGTGGAAATTCTATCAAGAGGTAGTATTTAATACTATTTGGATAACAGGATTATAGAAAGCTTTAAGATATGAGGGAGTAATGTGTTCACAGAGGTATCCAGCCGCTTTTGCCGCAAATGTTTACAGATGTCCTGGCTGTCGTTACTAAAAATGTGTCATTGAAAATCACCGTTTTTTTTTCAGGATCATAGATGCTGTAGAACCTTAAATGATTCACGAAATGGCATGATACACACTGTTATCTAGATGAATTTATGTACAGCAATAGTCTGGACTATCATGAAAGACTCCAGTAAGGAATTAGGAGGTTCTCCTCGGAAACATACGAGAAAGTTACTACCCGATGACCATCTTTTTTAACACTGCATTTGGTGTCTTTTAAAAGAGTTTTTCAAATTACGCGCATTTACAATGGGCTCATCTGATTGGCTGATCAAGGTTACTACGGCCGTTCAATTCGGTGCTTCGCTTGGGTCACTTATGTGTACAGTTACTCAGATTTAGGAGAGGATTGGACTAAGATTGATTTGAACTAAGATCACGTGCATGGCCAGATTCGAGGATGAAATTTATTAGTCTATAATTTTTTTTCTGTAGGTTTAAACAACTGGTGACAAAATGGATTTTTACAAAAAACAAAAACGAAAAAAGAAAACCATTTAAGTCTTCACCAAATTAACATCTGAAAGCAAGACAAAAATAAGCAACTACCTTGTTTTCTCTTTTAAACTAGGATTACGATATACCAGATGTTGTAGATAAGCAGCTGCATTCGACACAACATCTGGATCTGATGATTGTAATAAACGAATCAGTAGGGGGATGTCGACAGATTGTTGTGAAAATGTCCCAGAATTCGAAGTGAAATATTCTGGCTTCTTTGGTAAATTATTATTATTATTACTATTTATATTTGGCATAGTAGAATATCGATCGATTGTTGACGATTTAAAATGACCGCCTAAATTTAAGAAGAGATAGAAAAATCAAAAAGGGAAAAATATTTTTTTGAAAATTTGAAATATAATTGGATTGAAATAATTATACATTACCCGTAATGTATTTTCTGCAGACATATCTACCATTTTCCAATTTTAATACAAATTTTAGAAGACTAATATAACAAGTGCATTTATCGCTAAGCAGAATGTGTTATGATGATATTATATGGCTGGAGGTCATCGGCAGGAAGCCCATTTGGACCTGGGCTTCATTCTAGTTGGCACTCACCAGTTAGCAAGGAGTATCTTCAATATTGAAGGAACCCATGTCCCTTTTGAGATTCAAAGCCGTATCATCCAGTGAGTATTGAATTCAAATACGTTACCTCTGATCTATTCAGGCTCGCTATTGACATCCTGTAGAACTGCAGTGGATACTTTGGTTGGACACTATTAACTAGTGTGATGTGTCTAGTCCTATCTTTGGCGCAAACTGAATTCTCTCAGTCTGGTTTGCAATGTGGCCACCATTCTAGGTAACTCACCATCATGGCACACACTAATTTAATGATATTAGATGTTTGTAGGCAGTCGGTAGTAAGCCTTCAACCTGTGTTATGCTAACGAGTGTCAACAAACACTAACCTGGAACGAAGGCTTCCTGCCGATTGCCTCTAACCATCTAATATCATCAAATCAATGTGCACCGTGATTGTGAGCTACCTAGAATGGTGGTCACATTGTAAACTTAACTGATAGAATTCAGTCTGCATCAAAGAAACGATTAGACATATAACACTAGATACTAGCTAGTGTCCAATCAGAAATGTTTTATTTCAGAAAGAACTCTAAATGCTCGGTATGTGTTGCATTACAAAGAGGATATCTAAATGATATAAATAAAAGAATGATTGTTTAAGTTATTTTCAGTTCCCCGTTGACTCTCACTGAATCTCCCGACGGAAAGCTGCTACCTTGACGTGGTGGTCGGGCTTGAACACTGCAATGACCCAACAAGCTATACTGGCTGGAACTTATGTTCCTGCAGGTCCTACCATGCCAGAAAGGTTGTTTGGATAGCAGTTAGACTAAAAGCAGTTACCCAATCCAATCCTATGATTTCAAATAAATCACAAAATATCATGCCGGATCGGTCGGGGCCCGGATTAACAACGACCGCGCTTTCTGCTGCCGTGTCACAGGGCAGAAGTGATAAATACGCTACTGAGACACACCAAATAAAAAAGAACAAACAAAAACAGGCCGTGTGTGACCGGCCTCAAGCAGTTGTCCCCTGGGCTCTGCGGTCACGCAACCAACTTCCACGGTGTGGGCAGCCGGGAAGTACCAATCGCCCTCACAATCCGAAGTGCACGCGAAACCCCTCTAATCCTCGGTCATCTTTGTCTTCATCTTCATCTCTATTATCTTGCCTTCCTTCTACCAATGCAACTCCTCTACTTGTTGGCTCTTCACTTCCCCTTCACTCTGTGTGCACTGATAACGATGGAAGCCAAAAAGCCACCACCGATTGTCTCTTAAAACCACGCCACCAATTTTATATAGGAGCATTTAATGTTAGGACACTTTGCCAAATAGGACAACAAGCATCACTAGCCAAGACTCTGGCATCCCGAGCCATTGATATATGTTGTGTTTCAGAAACACGCATACAGGACCCAAGTGTGGTTATTCACCTAACCCCACCTGGCCAACAGGATGAATCTGCAAAATTCACCTTGAGGGTGTCAGGAGATGCGACGGCTAGCTCACGAGGATTAGCTGGTGTTGGGATAGCTTTAAGTACTAGAGCAGAAAAGACATTACTTGACTGGATCCCGGTAGATAGCCGAATGTGCGCTGTCCGCCTGAACGGATCAGTGAAAAGGAGAAAGGACTGCACTACTCGCCGATGCCTTTTCGTAATCTCCGCCTACGCCCCCACTGACTGCAGTTCGGATGAAACGAAGGATGAGTTCTACCAAAAGCTGTCTAGTTTGCTGCGAAAGGCTAGACGCTCAGATATAGTCGTTTTAGCTGGTGACTTTAATGCTCAAGTCGGTGGCACATACGGAATTCCGTGCCAACGAACCGACAACGGTGACCGTCTCCTACAGTTCTGTTCAGATAATCATTTGTATCTTGTAAGCACTAACTTCAAACACAAGGAGAGACACTGTTTGACCTGGCGACCCCCATCATCAAATCAACGCTGGACACAAATAGACCACATAGCAATAAGCTATCGTTGGCGTGGGTCGGTAGGAGATTGTCGCTCCTTCTGGAACACGTGTGTAGATACCGATCACGCACTGGTCCGCGCTCGTGTGTGCTTACGACTGAACGGACGTAGGAAACAGCGAGCGGTAAACCCATCACGTCCCCAGCTCGACCAGGGAACTAAGTCCCTATTTGAGGAAGAACTAGCTAAACACATATCTGAGTTTGACAGCTGCGCTCACCCTGAAGAAGCCTGGAAGAATATTCAATCAGCCATAGATACGGCTGTAAAAGCTGTGAATATGATAAATCCAAAGGTGAGTAAAAACCATTGGATTTCGACTGCCTCATCCGAACTGATAGATGCTAGAAGACTTATTCCGGCGAGCTCCGAATTCAATGAGGAGCGAAAGCTGCACAAGAGGAAACTTACGAAAAGTCTCCGCAAGGACCGTGAACAGTGGTGGTTGACAAAGGCGAAAGAGATGGAAAAAGCATCGGCGATAGGCAACACCAGACAACTATTCAGGCTTATCAGGGAAACAGGTGGTAAAAAACAAATGATAAGCGAAACAATCTCCGAGAAAAATGGCACCATAATTAGCTCCCAGGATAGACGTCTGAAGCGCTGGAAAGAACACTATGAGGAGCAGTTTAATTGGCCCACAGCCACACTTAACCTACCGGACATCCAACACCTCCCTGAATGGGAGATAGACACAGGTCCTCCGTCCTTAACCGAGGTTACTAAAGCTGTCACCAATCTGAAGCTAGGCAAAGCAGCGGGACCTGATTTATTGACTCCAGAGGTATTTAAGTACGGAGGCGATAGTTTACTGTCTGCGTTAACGGAGGTTCTAGGCAGCGTCTGGGAATCAGAGGAAGTCCCATCGGGTTGGTGTAAGTCACTGATCATCCCGATATACAAGAAGGGGGACAAGTCGTCTTGTGATAATCACAGAGGGATTAGCTTGACTAATATAGAATCTAAAATCCTAGGCTCAATAATACTGCGTAGATTAAGTGGTGCTCGGGAGACACAAACACGAGAAAACCAGGCAGGTTTTAGGCCAGGTAGAGGGTGTATTGATCACATCTTCACCCTTCGACAGATTCTAGAACATAGGCATTCCTACCGGCGTCCGACAATCATTATATTTCTTGACCTAAAGGCGGCATTCGATTCGGTCGACCGGGAGGTTCTCTGGCGATGCTTGGCTGTAAAGGGAATGCCAAGAAAATACATTGCACTGATTAAGGCACTCTACTCGTACTCATGCAGCCAGGTGAGGGCTTATGGCGAGTTGTCATCTGAAGTGGTGACGACTAGTGGCGTCCGTCAAGGATGCCCATTATCCCCATTCCTATTCAATTTCATCATAGATGTACTAATGGACTTAACCCTAACTCACTTCAGCGACTCAGGGATTGACTTGCTACCAGGGAAGAATCTCGTTGACTTAGAATATGCGGACGATATAGTCCTTCTAGGCGAGGACTCTGACCATATGCAGAGTCTACTGAACACCCTGAGCAACAATCTCCGCATGTTTGGCATGCGATTCGCCCCTATAAAATGTAAGATGATGCTGCAGGATTGGACTTCATCGACCCCTAGATTAGAAATAGGAAGTGAAGTGGTAGAACACGTTGACCGCTTCACTTACTTGGGAAGTACCATCAGCCCCAACGGGTTGATCTCCGACGAAATTTCAGCACGAATACAGAGGGCTAGGTTCGCATTCGCCAGTTTTCGCCGTCTCTGGCGTAGACGTGATATCCGACTATCGACCAAAGGGCGTGTGTACTGCTCAACAGTCCGCTCCGTCCTCCTTTATGGCTGTGAGACCTGGCCATTGAGAGCAGAAGACATGAAAAGATTAGCTGTCTTCGATCATAGGTGTCTGCGTTCTATCTCCCGCGTGAAGTGGTATAATAAGGTGAGCAATATTGAGGTTAGGCGTCGAGTGCTAGGTAAGGAGGGGAAATCAGTCGACGAGACTGTGAAATTACTTCGACTGAGATGGTTAGGACATGTGCTACGTATGCCTAGTCATCGCCTTCCTCGATGGGCAATGTTAGCTGAGATAGGGTCAGGCTGGAAAAGAGCTAGCGGCGGTCAAACCAAAACATGGCACCAATCAATGAAATCCACAACAGTTAATCTAAGCCACGTAGGAAGATGTAGACTTCCTGGTTGGGGCCCTCGGGATGGTAAAAACAAATGGTTGGAAACAATTGGTGACATGGCTCAAAATCGCTCTCAGTGGCGCAGATGCATCCACTCCTTGTGACTTATGATTTCCAATTAAACTTTTGTTCTCCGTTATTACTATTCCTTTGTCTCACACCTCTGTTTACTGTCTATATTATGCATTTCTTCTGCTTTCTTCTCTTGCTTTGCGTGCTACATAGATTGTGGCGACTTGAACTGCCGCACATATGTGCAAAGTTCTATGTCGAAAACCGACCGACCGACTCACTGAATCTCAATGGGAACATCATCACTGATGAGGAATTGTGGGGGTAGGGGTTTCAATTATATCCCACTGATGAGACACAAATAAGATGAAATATGCATCCTAGATTCCACTGCTAGCCACCATCAACGAATGTTTGGTTGAATAATTTAATGTACCAAACTAGAGACTTCGATTTTTTTGTGACCGTAGTTTTAAATTTAACTTGACTGAAATCGTATCAATATGATGTTCAGTTTGAAACGAGTTGGTCGACCAACCCAGTCATTGAATATGGAGTACATATGTTCAATTTTGTTGGTTAACTGATATCCTGAAAA